CCAAGCCCGGCTGAAGCAAGCGTGGGTGGCAGACGCGGGCCGGGCGGGGGTCGCGGCAGCCGCTCCCGACACTCAGTGCGTGCGCTTAGGACCAGCGAGCAGAGCGGCGGGGGCGCCGCGGGGGCGGGAAGTACCGCTCTCCTAGGAAACGTCCCGCCCTGTCGGCCTGGCCTGTCTGTACGAGGCAGCCACTGAGTCCGGAAAGTTCCGGCGAAGTCTCTGTGGGCGGGCAGACACTCGCTTTTGAATGGGCCTAGTTGTCTTTCTGCTTTAATGTCATTGATATTATGTCAGAGTCCCAAGGTGTATCTGACACTGATTGACTCCTTTTTTTTTTTTTTTCTTTCTTTCTTCTTAGCCTGAAGTAAAGCTGCCATTCAGGAGACTCAGCCATGGAAAGCAAACCCTTAGTGACATCGAAACAGAAAACTGAAGTGGTGTGTGGGGTCCCCACCCAGGTGGTCTGCACAGCCTTCAGCAGTCACATTCTGGTGGTGGTGACCCAGTTCGGGAAGATGGGTACCTTGGTCTCCCTGGAGCCCAGCAACGTGGCCAGCGACATCAGCAAACCTGTGCTCACCACCAAAGTCCTTCTGGGGCAGGATGAGGTAAAGTGGTTGGGAAGAGATCTCCAGAGTGGAAAGGAAACCTCATCCTTGGCTGTGATTTGTCAATAAGGAGGTGGGGCATCTGGCAGGCAAGTCCCCTGGCAGTGGCAGGATTTTCCAGGGCTTTTGTGATCTGAGGGTATCCTGCCTGCCTTGGGTGGTTGCTTTTCCCAGCCCGACAGCATTTTATCCAGCAGACAAGTGGAAGTATTGATTCTGTAATGTGGGCCTCCATCTCAGTTTGACCCTGTCACGATACATTAGGTTAATGAATAGTTGTCCATGCTCTGTTCTGGAAAGATCATCTGTGAAATTTGACAGAGTTCCCCTCCCAGGCTTGTCTTTCATGAGTCCTTCCAGATCAGAGATAGCCAGAAGCAGAAGGCACTAAGAAAATAAATGTAGTGGTGCCTCTTCAGCAGTTTGTTTATGACCGGAGTGTTCTGAGTGTCTCATTGAACTCTGAATCACTGTTGCATTGAACTTATCTAGTGGTAATTTAATGGTAATATAGGAAACCTGTCTGGGTTCCTAAAGCATTTAGGGAGAAAAAAAACAGGTTTCTTGCAGTTAAAATGGTTTTCTCCCCTTCCCTTTACCAGCCTCTCATCCACGTTATTGCAAAGAACCTGGTAGCATTTGTGTCTCAAGAAGCCGGAAACAGAGCAGTCCTCCTAGCCATGGCAGTGAAAGACAGAAGCATGGAGGGGGTGAAGGCCTTGAAGGAGGTGATCCGGGTGTGCCAGGTGTGGTGATCTGAAGTTGACTGCCACATGCTGTTTATAGAACCAAGTGGAAATCCAGACAGCCTCTCAGGGACTCGAAGACCCTTCTTTCCATCACAGTCAGAAGGAGGAACTTTCTCTGACTTTTTAGCCCTCGAACCCAGAAAAAAATATTCATGTCTCAGGCAGACTGTTACTCTGGTTACTGATACCATCCATGGGTAGAGGGAAAAAGTGGACTGTGTCTTGGAGGAGTCGTGAGTGGTTCTCACTGGGGTCGAGAGTTGCATATATTTGAGAATTGAAAGAATGAGCCAGCAGGCATAATTCATGGCCCTTCATATACGGTATCAATTGTAGGAGGAAATTTTTTTTATTAAAAATAAATGTGTATCTCAAAATACTTCATCATCCTTCTGAGCAATACTGAGAAACTTCAGTCACACAGCATAAGTTTAATTTATTGTACTTTACGTGGGAGAAAGCAGAGTCTGTAGTTGATAGGGATGAGGTGAATCCTGACGATGGGTTCAGTGCAGCATTATCTTGCTCCCGTTCCTGTGACTCTTCTTTGAGCATGCTTGGTTAGCTGGATGGCTGTCAGCTTCCATTCAAGTAACACTTCTTATTGTCTTGCTTTGTGCCAGTCACTGTGGTGGGGCTGGGGACACAGACCCTAGCCTCAGGAGCCACTGAACTTGTGTGGTGAGGTTTTTCTGGCATAGGATCAGCATGTGCAAGGATCAGGAGGTATGAGAAGAACAGCAAGGGCAGGACACTGCAGGTGGGTCTCTTGTCGGGGTGCTTGGGGGCATGACTGGATGTGAAGTACCCAGTGATGGGGGATGGGCAGCGGAGGGCCTTCTGTGCTGGGCTCAGTGAGGAGCTTGAAGGGTTTCAGGTCAGGTCAGATGTGTCCTTTAGAAATATTCCCAGGAAATAAGTGCAAGGATTGGCAGGAGCATAGAGTGAGACATTGGCTTTAGGGTTACATTTATGCCTCTGACACTTGGCAACAGGGGACCCACTTGAGCTCTCCCTGGTCTGTCCTCCAGCTGCAGCGAGGAAAGCCTTGCTGATCGTACCAGAGTTGGGAGTTCCAAAGCCAGAAGGTTAAATATTTGTACCATTTGCCTCTTACAGTCTCTCATTAGAAAATAGAGGCAACTGGAGAGTTGAGTTAGGTGACAAGGTCTTGAAGCAGAAACAAAATAGGATTCTAGAAACAGAGTGAGCACCCAGGATGCCCTTCCAGGAAATTGAGGATTTACCTCTTTGAATACATGTAAAGAAACATCTTAGGTGGCATCCACATGTTTATGAAATTGGAAATGAATATTTCACCTGTTTTTTTCTCTAAACCAATGGCTTCTGAATTCCTGCAATTTTCTTGATTTTAAAAGCCTTTCTCTAGGACAGGTGATAGGAAAATCTATTTCAAACCTCTGCGCCAGTTTACAAAGAGTTTAGAAAGTGAGTTTGCTGAAGATGGAACAGAAGAAAACCGATTGTTTTCAGGGGCTCATTCCTTCTGCACATTGAGTGCCTGCTGTATGCCTACTACTGTGTGACCCACTGGGTCACCCTTAGCCATAGTCTTCTCCAAGGATGGTTGGGTAAAGCTGTAGGCAAAGACCAACTGCAGAATGACCGAGGCAACCTTGGAGAAGGAGAGCTGGGGAGTCAGATGTGGGATCCTGCCAGACTTCTCAGAGGAGGCACTGGTGCTTGAGTAAAATGCACCTCACAGGCGCCTACTGCAGGGAGCATGAGTGACCAAGGGCCTGCTATCCCCAACTGCTCCCCACCAATGCCTGTGTGCAGTGGGGACACCTGGGGTCCTAAGGGAAACCCTGGCAGACAGGACTTCCATACAGTTTTATCCAAACTGCCCTAGACCACAGCCTTTCCAGCCCACGGCTTCCACCAGTCTTCTTTCTGTCCCCCAGATAGACTTGCATCACAGTCTGACATCTACCTCGACCTTCTCTAGTTCCCTCCCCACTTCCTTTCATGCAGGCATTTCTTCTGATAAAATCCTACACATTTAGTCACATTGGCGCCAGCCTCTTGGAGAACCTGGACCAGCACAAGTTTTAAAGGCTACGAAGGGGCCGGCCTGTGGCTCACTCGGGAGAGTATGGTGCTGATAACACCAAGGCCATGGGTTCGGATCCCATACAGGGATGGCCGGTTTGCTCATTGGGTGAGCATGGTGCTGACAACACCAAGCCAAGGGTTAAGATCCCCTTACCAGTCATCTTTTAAAAAAATAAAGGCCACAAAGAAGTCAACTAGAGAAGGGGAAGGGAAAGGACTGTCCACACACAAGTGAGGATCCCAGCAGGTGATAGGTGTGGGCTCAATGTCACTGCTGGAATAAGGGAAGCCTGTTGGGGTTGGGCTGGGCAGGGGTTGGGGGAAAAACAAGACCTCAGAGAACTCCAGAACTTGACCAAGGAGCAAGGGCACGGCATTATCAGATTCATGTTTTAGAGCAGGCAGTCAGGCAAAAGCCTCTTCATTCAATGTTAGCCTGCAATGATTTGCACTTGTCATGTGGAGATCAGATATTTTTGTCTGAGGAGCCACAGCTTCTGTCATTTAACAAGTGGGGAGACTGAAGCATGGATAGGGCTCAAATCTGCATCTAAATTCAGGTTTGAAGCTTTTGATTTCCTGATTTGGTCCCTGCTGTGGATTGAATGGCCTCCCAAAGTCACTGAAGCTTAATCCCCATTGTAACTTGAGAGTGGGAAATCCTATCATGGTAATTGAAAGGTGGGGCTTTGAAGAGGTGATTGGATTCTGAGGACCATGCCATAGTGAATGGATTAATAATGGGGGTCATGGGTGTGCTTTTGTTTTTTTTTTAAGATGACCAGTAAGGGGATCTTATCCCTTGACTTGGTGTTGTCAGCACCACGCTCTCCCAAGTGAGCAAACCAGCCATCCCTGTATAGGTATCTGAACCCATGGCCTTGGTGTTATCAGCACCACACTCTCCCAAGTGAGCCTTGGGCCAGCCCTATGGGTATGCTTTTGAGGGCATTAAGAGGAGAGGATCTGAGAGTCTCTCTGTGCTTCCACCATCTCACAATGTGATACCTTGTGTCGCTGAAGCCACCACCAAGGAAGACCCTCACCAGATGTGTTCCCTGGACTTTGGACTTCCCAGCCTCTGAAACTAAGCAATAAATTTTGATTTCTTACAAATCACCCAGTTCCAAGTACTTTGTTATAAGCAATAGAAACTATATAGTCCCTAAAAGGGTAACAGTAGAACTAGTTCACACGGCCTAGCGCTGTGACCAGGCCATGTGGTCAACACTTCACATGCGCAGTGACCTGTTTAATCCTTACGACCACCCGCAAGGCAGCTACTCACACCGTCTATGCTTACAGACGAGGAAGGTGAGGCACAGAGAGGTCACTCAGCCACTCCTAAGCAGCAGAACTGGGAGTTGAACCCAGGCAGGGAACCCATGGGTCCCTACTGTTCCCCAGTCACAGGACTCTGTCATTCTCATTCATAAGCTCCTTTTAAGCTGCCACTCTGTCAAGGAAAAAATAATCCTCGTAAATGCCAGGGTTGGTTTTGCCTCCATATTTCTGTGGTTCTGGTTTAACACTTTGCTTTAGGGCCTCCTAAGAGCCAGGCTTGGCAGACCTCTACCATGTAATTGAGTCCTTGTGGCCACCCTTAAAAGGTAGGTACTGGAGAAAATTAGGGCTCAGGAAGATCAGATGAGTTGCTCACAGACTCCCAGGTGATAAGCAGTGGCCCCAGGATGTAAATGCAGCTTTGTCCTGTGTTATTTACACTGTCCATATCGGTCTGCCTTGAAGGTGGTGCTGAAATGTTTATAATTGAAACCAGGGTCCCCAGTGTGTTCTCTAAGTCATACTTATTTACAGCTGCCCAAAGCTGTCTGGTAGCTTTTAAAAAATAC